CTCCCCTGTTTCGTCTGTCGTTTCCTCTGCGCTTCCCTCTTCTTTTTCCTCTTCTCCTCCCTTTGTACTCCCTGTACTCCTGTCACTCCCTTCCTTTTTTCCCTGTGGGGTACGCGGGATCTCTTTCCCCCTCGGAACTTCTTTTCCCTTAAAGTAATCCCTTATGTTTTCTTTCTCTGGTTTCTCTGTCTTTCTGGGGCGTCACCTCTTCGTGGGCTTGGCCTCTTCCGTCTCCTTTTCCCGTTCCTCACCGGTCATCTCTTCTATTCCTTTCTTCTCAATTTCAGCCGGTGCTTTTCCCGTGCTGCCCTCTCTCCTTTCCTACTCCGAACTCTTTCCTCTCTCGTCCTCGCGTCTATCCCGCTCAAACTCGTCCCCTCTCTGTTGTATCGTACTTTCCTCCTTGCTCTTCCTCCTAACCCTGCTTTTTTTCCACACCACTTTTCACCTTCAAAATCCTTCTATCCTCCTTGTTTTTTCTTTGAACCTTCACATTTTCAAATTCTTCCCTCCACATTAAGCCACCTTTTCCACTTCTCCACCTCACAATCTCCGGAAAACCTAGACAACCCTCTAAAAACCTACCGATGCGTTCGCGTTCGCGGTCACGAGCTCCCTCAAGTGTGAAGTGTTTGATACGTTTGACATTTTCTTTTTTTTTTTTTGAATGGCATCGGCCAAGAAAAAATTTTGGCCCTGAATGTCCAACGCTACGCGATACCTATACACGACACAACTACCCCCTCCACTACCTATAAATGCCTTTCAATAATTATCTCGAGTAGGGAATACGAATGAGAATATTGCCCTCAGTAGAACTATATAAATCGTCTATGCTCTTTTCAATGGTGCTCGAATTTTGGAAATCAATAGTTAAGAAAATACGCGCATAGTAACGGTCCCATATATACAGATTCTCATGATTTCATATTATGTAATGGTCAAAATCAATTTGTGGTATTGACAGCACTGCCTCAACCGAATGCGAACTAATGTACGTACGAAATTGAAGCATTATCAACCATGGATTTCAATGTGGTACGAACATTCAAGGAAGTAAAATGAGAACTCAACTCTATTCAATTGAATACTAAATTCAATTTTTAAAAACACAGTCTATAATATATGAAAGTTTTTTTTTGACTTTGAAAGATCTATGGAATCTATTGAAACAAACAAAAATATTTTTTTCTAAAAAATATACCAAGAAAAAGTATTGTGTAGTGGGCTTACCCTGAAAATTTGTGGAAATAAATAGAAACAAAAAAAAGCATCAAACAAAATTTCTGTATGATGAAAAAAATAGTTGAACGAGGACCAAGGTTCTTGGCCCGGATTGGAAAATGGTGAATCAAATTAATGCTATGGAGTTTGACAGAGACAATGAAATAAAAAAAATCGTGATAAAAATTTTGGTCTTAAGACATGTAGAAAGCAAAGTAGAAAATTTTTTTGAAATTTAAATGAGGACAATATCAACATAAAAAATGAGATTAAAAAGAATTCTCACACACCCTATGCAGAAATTCAACGTGTTAACTTTCCAGTTTTTCATTCATTCTTCATTAATCGCAGCGGGCATTTCTGTAACTTGTCCATTTGACGGATGCTTCATGGGACGATCCGTGAGCGACCCTGAGAAATTAAATAATTTAGGTGTTCCTTTGAGAGTAATCTGATATATTTGCTCCTGAGTTGAAATATCTTTACAGATTGGAAAAGAAACCGAGCAGATTCCGTCATTACTAGGAAAGATGTGGAAATTTTCAAAACCTAACATGAGAAAATGGCTCTATTATCGCTTATAACAATTAATCTACTAGATAGAATAAATAATGTGGGGTAGAAGAATCGCATTTAAATCTTCCAATTTACATATATTTTCACTGGGGCAAATGGAAGAATTAACTTGTCGATAACTTGATGAAAATGTAGGTAAATCAGATTTTTCATACACTATGTTGAAGAGCAGTAAATGTCCTTCAAGATAAAATCAACTGAATGGGCAACGCCTGTTGTTCCAGTATTGAAGCTAAATTGTCAATTATGGTTATGTGGAGATTAAAAGATGAGTGTAAGCACACAAATTGATATTTACAGATATTCAATCCGACGCTTTACGGATTTATTAGCAAAAATTCGTCAAGGATGGGTATTTAGTAAGATAGATTTGAATCACGCGTATCAACAGGTAGAACTACAAAAAAAATCAAAACTACTCACAACATTTGGGACTTAATTAGTCTCTTCAAGCCCTTCTTGGTAATCTGCCGGTCTTGATATTTTTGGTATGAGTGCCCACCTGATCGTCTTTTTTGTGGCCTGTGAGAAAATAGCTTTGTTGGCTTTTTCACATGTTTCCCTGTTTGAAAGCTAGGAGTGCTGTGTTCAGGTGCAGACCTTTTCATAACCTCCACCGTTTCACAGCTCGCTTCACCGCTCGTTTGAATAGGAGTCCCTTGAGCTTGGAGGCTTGAGCAGCCCTGAGTGCTTCCTTCTCCTTCTTAAACCATCGGAGGTAGCCTGGTATCGGAGGGCACCGTTAGTAACGCAACTCCTCTCGCGCCACACAGCCTTCGGCACGGTTTGGAAGCATCATGACAGCATCAGTCCGAGGTGTCTCCATCTGAAATCCTACTGAGGTCAGGTTATTCAGTGTGGCTACCTCCTATCTGCCACCTGGAGACGCGCTCGGTTGGTCGCTCAACCGTGCTCTCCGCATCCCAGTCAAGGAGTTTAGAAAGACCCGAGTCGATCTAGTTTGAATTGAAGAAAAACGCAAACGAGTGTGTCTAAATCTTTGCACCGTATCAAGTGTAATATTTATTTTGTATGTTCATGAGAGGTCATAAACTGACAGTAAAAAGCCCAGTTACCGGGACAAACCTACCCTTGAATGGAATCGAGTCATTTATTGCGCCTTATACACCAGAGTATTCCGTGATATTTTTCACGGCAAAATTGTTCGTTTTAGAGTAATTTGCACAGAAGGCCTATATTTTTTAGTCCTTCAATTTACAACCGTTCAAGTATAGTCTGAACTATTCCAATTGTCTGATCTCAATAGAAGTTACGAAATTGAAATGTTTGTAGACAATTTAAGACTGAAGATAAAAATTGCATAGAATGTCAGAAAACATGATGATGTGGGCCCAAAGCTCGAATATGATTACCTTCCGTCAAGCTTCCACCGAAAAACATGATTGCCAACTTCAAAAGTTCCTTGTAGTCTTTGTAGTCGTAGGTTTTTATCTTGTAATTGGAAATAGTTATCGAGTTAATTATATGAATTTTCGATTGAAAACAGAAAAATAGGAAAAATACTATTAATTCAACTCGAGATGAATAAGTCGTTCCTATTCACGATCAATTGTGATTCAGCATCTGTCGTCTCTGGGTCTAATGCATCTTCCACTATGCCATCGTAAATGCGGAGTGTAAAATGTATCTTATCAATGTTTTACCACTGCCGTTAAAATCTGTTGAAAAAGGGGACATCAAGGCCCGCAGCAATTCCCATACATGAGTCGAACGCTGCTTTCAGGAAGAGTTCAAATATCTGATGCCGGATAGCTAAGTTTAAAACATCTCCCTTAAGCACGACCTGTATTGGTGGAAGTGGTGTCGAAATCTTGGCAGCTTCTGCCTCTAACGTTGCACTTTCTATTTCAAGTCTTGAGCCACTAAGCAATTCATTAGCCTGAGACAACAAATGGAAGTCTTTCAATTTTCTTGATTTTTCTTCTGGTGCTACAAATTGCTCGCCATCTCAGTGAACAGTTAGAACATTACAAGTCCTGTTTTTACGATTGTCCCGAATTTGATGACTTATAGATTCACGTTGCAATGGTTGATTTCGTCGGATAGTCTCACGACTTAAATGAAGATCATCTACCCGTTAAGATTCTAACGTCATGCCACTCATTATATTGCTCGCTGCAAGTACACAAGCCATGCGATCATTAATTTTACCTCTAGCCAGAATAGTCGGGATGTCCGGATTCATTATCTTTGATTTCTTACACTGAGGTGAGGCGGCAACTCCATAATCGCTATCTACGTCTGTGTTATTCCCAGTATCTTTCACTAGTTCATTGACATCTTCCTCTTCATCGCACAGATAATTTCGTAAACTGGCAGCCAGTCGACTTGATTTAACTGTAAAGTGAAGATAGAGCTTATATTACCAAGAATAACGATAGTGGAATCGAAATTTGGAAACTCAAAGTGTCTAAAATTTGTACTTGAATTACTAATGATATTTTCACCGATTATGTTGACAACCGATTATGTTGAATATGAGCACTTCGCTGCATTGAGATGCAGAAATTAGGGCCATAACTATTATTTCTGTTGAAAAGTACACTTAATTATAATGAGTAATGTATAAAAGGAAAACTTATTAATCAATATGTTTTACCTCGCTGTTTCTCGATCATTGGTCTTTCTTCTTCAGGTGTATCATTATTGGTCCATGTTCCAGTGTCGATAATGATATCCTGTGTAGTCTCAATAAAATCGAAATATCTTCATTTTTCATCGAGTTAACTGCCTTCAGTATGAAAGGCTATCAACTTCTTTTGATATGAGACAGATGCTTCTTTCCGCGGATCCAACAAATAACCCAATTCCAATATTCCGGTACCAATGCGTTTACAGCATTCCATGCCCGGACCGACACTTTTCCTACCTGAAGTGAACCGCCATCAAACCATCTGACTTTTCATCAAGGTTGTTGTCGACCGACTACTAGTATAGGTCAAACATTGGATGAAAATTTAGAACCAATTGCGCTTTCATTAGGATTGTTTTTAAAAATCACAGGAAAATCATAGTCATGTTATAGGACACTATCATTTTGTAATTTAAGCGAGGCAAATTAGGAAACTCCATTAATAATGGGCTATTCTAGTACACACGCAAGAGAATATAAAACTATTAATCATAATATTACCTCCTCGAGGAATATTACAATATTCATATGTAATTTTAATTTTCAGGTCCCTTCACAACGGACCAAGGCTTCGAAACAAGCTTGAACAGAAAGGACAGTTACACGGCAGACTTTCCCTCAGATCGTACGCATCCGTCTAAAAACATTGGACCCTTTACAAAGGATCAGAATCTCCGAGTTTACGAAGACACTCTTGCAAATGCCACCGAAGATCCCAAACAGACTATTTGGACCTTCGTAGATCTGAATGAGGCGGGAAACGCCTTGGATAACCTTGAAACTGAATCAGGACGAAGCTTCCCCAACTCTGCCTCCATCGCTCAAGTTTCTAAAGCTACCTCCCACTCCCAGAACCCCATATCACCATCTGCAAATACTAGAACTTTCACAGAAATTCAAGAACCCGTTTTGCAAGTCAAAAAGAAGGAGATGGGAAGATCAATGCGGCTCCCTGAAATAACGGAACCCATTCTTACACCCCGAAATACTCGACAAAACCAAGATACTCATCTCAAAGACGATGACGATAGACAAGTATCTGGTAAAAATGATGATAATGATTTGAAGGTATTCACTGTACAATTTTTACCAGAAAGATTGGCGGGAATTTTGGCTCAGGCTGAGAGATACGCTCGGCAGACACTTCTTCCTTTGATTTCTCAATACACACCGTCTTTCATTAATAGTCCTCGAAAAGAACGTTTGAAGTACTTCCCTTCTCTTTCAGAAATATCTCAGGATGACGATAAAACGAGTGAACTAACTGCATTCAATAGAAAAGGCTTTGTCACTAATTCTCCTATTGGAGAGAATAAGGGAAGATTCAACGAAAATGTTTCAGAAGATAAGGAGGAAGACTGGGTTCCGATTCCATTTTCGGCAGTTGTGCCGAATGCAAACGATAGCAATGAGAGCAGTTTCAAGAATTCTGATAATTCGGAAGGAAAATGGATCACTCGAAATGAGAAGGCATTAGTTACAGTACAGCAAAATGGAGTTGAGATTAACAGTGAGAAAATTTTGGAAAATACCTCAATAGTAAATGGCACAGGTACTGTAGGCGGGAAGACTGATGATGATAATGGTTGGGTCCCTATAATCGATAGATTGAAGAATCAAAGTTCAAATATGCCTACTTTAAATGAAAACAATACCTCTTCAGTCACCCCTTTGAATTCCGATGGCGGGAAAAGTGACCAAAAATTCATTCCGTTGATTGATTTCCAAACACCTGATTCAGCACTTAATGATGACCAAGGCGGTATAAAAGTCAGGTCAACAACTGAGGACATTCTTCCAAACATAAAAAAAAATGAGGAGAATAAGGGGGAAATGAAGAGTAGCTTTAGAATGTTGGAGACTCAGGCAATGGCCTTTCCTTACGCTTATGAGAAAAAGACGAATCCTAGGACGATATACATTCCATTAGTTCCTGAAGAGGATATTACGAGGAAGATGAGTATGAGTGGAACGGAAGAGTGATCATTTTCATTAATTGCAAAAATTTCAAGGATGAATAAAATGAATTCAGTTTGTATAGAAATTCGACGCATGTTATACAAATTAATGCACTGATAGAACGGTTTAGCTATGGTTAATCAGTATAGGCTTGAATAATCAACCGATTGTTCGTCAATAAGAAACGAATTTTGATTGGACTAAACGTATCATTCTTTCAGAGTAGTTTAGTAACAATTGTTGAAAATTCTTTTTTTGTATAATGTTATTTATTATTTACAAAAAGTAATCCTAATATTTTATCATATCGCTCATGTTTAAGATAATTGACCAATTAATAAAACATGATTTGTATGACGTATTCAATCTTTATTGGTAAATATGTAGTATAGATCCACCAAGCGGTTCTCGTTTTTATCGTATATCATACAGTGGAGTATAAATAGGTGTCCATCACCTAATTAAGGTTGTGTAGATCATTTTTGAAGGAGACAAATAGTTTCGGATGATTTTTTATACCTGACTCCTTGTGTTCCTCAAGGGCCATGACAAGGATGTGGTCATGCTGTCAGTCCCAAAGATAATACATGATGGCACACTGATAGACAATGGACACACAAAAATATGAATGATTTAGACAATCCTAAACCCCACTACTAACCATTACTGATTGAAATGTCATGAGAGAGACACCTCCACTGCTCTCCTGTAGCTATGCAATTTTAATTACATTGAATAGTGTTCACTCACTCATCATGCCAGTAGCGAAGGATGGATTGACATATTTATAGAGACTAGGCGTCATCCTCAGGACGATGTACAATTGTATACCCTTATTCTTCTATCTATATTCAAGTCAGCTAATGCTATATTCACGTCAGCTAATAATGAGGGGCCAACCTTGAGTGAATAAGGAAAATTAATATTTCAAATAGTGGACATTCACCATGACATGGTCTCGTTTCTTGATAAAATGGTGATAATTTCGATTCAAAAACTAGTCTTGAAAAATTACCATGGAGCATGAAAATTAACAGAGTTCAAAAAAGGTAAGAATTTATTATGTTTTATAAAGGTAAGAAATAATAACAAGATTAACATATCGCCGAACAAGCCCAAAGTAAAAGAATGATCAATTTAAAAAAACGATCGTGCGTAAAGATAATAGAAAGGGACAGCCGTAGCAAGTGTCGCGGATCCCGCGGTTTTTCCGCGGATCTCGCGGTTTTTTTTTTTTCTTCTTGATGATTCTCGTAATCTTGTAATTATGCAACGGTTTTGGGGAACAGCTGCCAACAGGCGGAGTATGACTCATGCTCCTCGTGCGCAAGAGTGTACTCCCCCCTGGCCCCCAGGCTAAGATCTGGAAACGGCACGAGGCCACTCGACTCCCCGATAATCCGGAAGGTAAAAGATGTCGGGTTAATAAGAAGTCTATGATGATCAACTGCCGTCACAGAAGCCGCGAAACAGGGATGGGGAGCCCGACCTTCGGTGCAATATGGCTTAGCGCCCTGCAACAACCCCCGCTCCCGAGAGGGCCTCCAAACCCTCAGGTGGTCAACAGGAAGCGCGATCTCTCTCTCTCTCTCTCTCTCTCTCTCAATGGAGCCGAAGTTAATGAGATCCCGTGGATTAGACAGAACCGTCGTATGAGTCGGGAATAAGAAAGACACAGCCGTGAGCTGAAATTTTAACAATTAACGGTTTTCCGGCTCACGAAACGAAACAACGAACTCCCGAATTTTCAGATGCGGACGCCGTGATGAGTAATTAATCCCTCTGAAAAATAACGGTCATGGACCTAGGTGGGGGATGACCTCCACCGAAAGCATATATGCACCCGTGCTGACCCGAAAAACTCTCTTCTTTACTCCTTCGGGCACTACTTACTTCACGACTTCACTCCTTCTACGACTTCGTTTCAAACTACCACTTCAAGTCACTTCAAGTCACTCCAGACACGTCAGACATCATATTTGATACTTCATACCTTTTGGGAGCAGTTCAGCACTGGACTTGGCATCAGACGACTATTATTTCGATTTCAAACGATTTCGTCAAGTCTCGTTGATTCTTCGAGTTAACTCATCGCTAGTTCTCACCTGCATCAGCCAAGTTACCCTTGGGGAAGCTGAGTCTTACCTACAAAACGAGACCGTATTCATTCACAATTACGCCTGAGCCGCGTGATTTTATTGCGGACTAGTTGAGCCAATCCACTTCAGACATTGCCACGCCGGAGCTGCGTAAACGAGAAGAAGCTGAATTGACAACAAGTTGACACAGTGCAGCCTCAAAGGAGTGTAACCAAAATACACCAAAATATTTGTTTTGTTAGTGAGTGAGAGTTGAGTGAACCATAAAAGGTGACCCGACATCTGAAGTCCACGAGAAGCCGAGCCGCTACCCCTGGTCCGACGGAAAATTGGGATCTTTTATTGCACCGCCCGAACCTCCGGTTCGACATCTTCTCACCTGCCAGGTGAACGACCGGAACACCTAGATTATCGCAACGAATCTCCGAGTTCGTCGACCTCTTCTTTACACCCCGAGAATCGTCTCATCTTCGAGAAATCACCGAGTTCTACCCCTTCAACTTTTGAGGAAACCGCCGAGTCCACCGCAGCGCGACTGAGTGATCGTGCACACCTTCTACTTCCCTGTTTATCATCAACTGTAAGTCTTGAACCAATTGTAATCCTTCCTTCACCTCAGTGTTACCTATCTCTCCCATCAAAATTGAGCGGTTTTATCTTGGATTGTTGTAACAATCCTGTATTTTAGTACCCCAATAAATAGTCCTAGATTAATCAATAGAAAGTTTTCCTCTCTATCTCTGCGCGATTCTCTCTCTAATCAGAATTCCTGCGTAACCTAGCATGGTACACTTCAGTGTTTTATCCCACACAATACGAGCCCATTTAACTTTGGCCTCCGTTTAGACGTAACTGGTCGCGGTCAATTCAGTTTTGGGGGTCACCCTCTTGAGAGAATAACCGATCGTCCAGCCGCCCGTAGGCCGCAACACAAGTATGCGACAATATGTTCGTAACAAGAGAGATGATCTCATTTCAAGGATTTGTCAATTAGATTTTCACAGCGGAGCACTATTGATCTGCGATTCGAATTCGAAATGTTCAGTATCAAATTAGATTACCGCTATTGACATAATTAGTTGTATTCAAAATCTTGGTCAGAACCCTAATCTTTTCTGCAGCATATGGATTCTATTCCAACAGAAATTCTCTCTGTTTGAAATTTGAAAAGTTCTTCAATCCATTTTTTAATATCTTCCTAAGTTAAAAATTTTCTCATATGATCTTAATTCGTAAATTTTTCTTTTACAAATAACGATGCCAGGACCAGGAAATATGGCAGATGAGAGGAAACTTTCCTATTTTTCCTTCTCTTATATAATTTTTTTGAAGGTTTTGGTGTATATGAATGGAGATTGACAAAACGCAAAGGTCAAATTTTTAATATCTCCTTTGATACATTCATCAATATTGACTTTAGCCATGTTGCTGTATTGAAATCGATATGGATTAGCGCCATACAGTGTGTGTGATTTTGAAAATGAAATAGATCCTTGTCAGTGTCATACAGAGGCTCAGACATTTCCACATTTCGGTAGCGTATAATATAAACATTTTTAGCATCCCGAGTAGTCCTCAGCTTGGTACTCGAGTACGGCCGTACCTTTTGGAGGAATTCGATATTCAAAAGATAGAGATAGATATAGATGTAAATAGGGGTATATACGCTAATCAGTTTTAAAATGCATTCAGTTGGAGAATCATCAAGAAATGTACCATTAAATTCACATTCTTTTCTACAGAAAGAGAAAATTTGCTCAATGAAGTGCTAAAATGCAACTGTATATTCATAAACAAATAATTTTCTACAACTTCGGAGTGTTTTTGATTTTTTAGAGTTTTTCCAGACTTTTAAAACCTTTTTTAGAATGACAAAAAATATATAATTGAAAAAATAAATTTTTTAATTAATAAAAATCAGGGAATCAAGATAAAAATATGAAACTTTCCAAGGAATTATGGTCATAAATGTATGAATAAATTGGCGCCTTGAAATTCGCTGGGGGCTGGATTCACTATGCCCATAGCCTATCCGGCTAGACCCGTTCACAAATTACAAAAATTTTTTTTTATAAACATTATTTATACATTTTACATTGTAAATTTATGTCAATGATTTTACAGTATTATATTATCAATTTATAGCATAATCATGGATTGATCAATCATAAATTGACAATATAATACTATAAAATCGTTTTTTCTTAAAAAAGTGGAAAATTTCATGTGACGTTAGGGTCCCTGTTGATGGAAATGCCTACTGAATAACCCCCCAGGTCTCTAACTCTTATAGAGTGGGTTCTCTCTGCCTGTGGACCCGAGTCCCTTGTTAGCCACTTGGCTGAACTCTCAGCGATTTCACTCAATCCTTGGCTCGAGGCATCACATAACCCTTCGACTTCGCCTTTTTATTGGCCGAGGTCTGTATATGCTTTTTCTGACTGAAGGGCAGAAAAATGCTTATTTCTTATTTATCTGACGAGAGGAAAACCGCCTCACGTCACATTCATAACAAGCTATCATCTTAGGGACTTTCTACATCCATATACATATAGCCTAAATTCATATTTCAATTTTTTTCAGCCAATTATTAATGGAATTGATGTAAATAAGTACAAAGTTTTTTGCATTTTGTGATAATTTTATAGCTTATGAAATTTTGTGTTGATGCGATTATTTCTAGGCACTTTCCTTACAGTTTTGTTATGATTTTTAAAAGTTTAGAAAAAAACGAAAAAAAATGTTCACACAATCTTGAAAATTTGTGAGTAATTGAATAATGACAAAACGCAGAAACGTATTTTTCAGGTCAATCCCATCGTAAGTTTGCCAGAAAAATGAAAAAAACTTTACATTTGGCTATATATAGGGTAAGAACATCCTTAAATTGTTTTCTGCATTTTTTTCCTGAAAAATTCACTCGAAAACAAAATTTTGAAACGAAAAATTACCAAAAGGTTAAGTTATAAGAAATAATGGCTAAAATAAAAGAACAATTAAAAAAAAATTCATACAAATTATTGGGTTGGGTAAAACAATTCGAAAAAATTCTGAGAAACGTTTCTCATGGGGTAGAGAAGAATGGAAAATTTTTGACCAGATCGAAAGGGATCGGGTTCATAAGTGGTTGATTGACCATGGAATACTCCAGTTATATATTCGTATTTTTTTCTTATTTTATATTTTACAGTTTACACCTTCATATGTATATCTAGGAAAAAATTTTCGAAAAATCAAGT